AACAATGTTAATCTCCAGTTCAATGTACTCAAAATCTGTACCTTGATAATATATGTAGAGGTCATAACATGGGGCAAGTGTGCCTTCGGTCCATATTGTCACACTTTGTGACTTATTTGCCAGAGGGATTTAGCCTTAGGGCAAATTTGAACCAAGTGTGCAAATATGGACTAATGGTACACTTGCCCAATTTTAATGACCTGTTTATTGCATATGTTCCGCATCAATTTTTCAGACTGGAATAAAATCAAGCAATAACAAAATTGTTCTTATTGCATATGTTACTATAATAAGTAATAAAAATGCGTTTCTTTTTTCTGAATATGACATGCGAAAATCCCGTATTTGAGCAAGTGTGCCAATAAGCCATATTGGCACACTTGCCAAGCGTGCCAAAATCCCATATTCAGGCTATTTCCGGCCATCACGCACCTATTTTCCAGTAACGACAGAACGTTCGCGCGTATACATGTTAAGTAATTGACAACCGCATCGCCGCAAAAAAATGGCCGTCGAGAGGGCGTAAAACAACATGTGGTGAAACATCGACTCGCAGCGTATGCTTATGTAGAGATCCTTTTATAATTATATTCCTATAGTAACATATACTAATCGTTCACAGGTGTTTTATACAAAGTGATATTTACGGGTACGGTAATGAATCATCGCATTCCGTCACTGTTCTCACTTTGTGGAAACGCATTTCTTTAATATATAATAAATTATCTATAATATTATTATATTGTTTTCAGGTAAGTAATGTTAAAACTTCTTAGTTTTTCATATGCTATATTTATAATTGTTTTGTTAAATGTTGTTATTTATAAATTTTGAATCAATCTTTAAAATTAAGTAAAATACAATACCCTAAATATTTATAAACCTGTATACATGTATATATTTTCTTGTTGTTTGTTTACATGCCTTATGTTTAGGGAAAAGGAACGAATCATTGTTTTCCGTCACTGTTCTCAATTTGTGGAAACGCATTTCTTTAATATATGAGATTATCTATAATAATATTATATTGTTTTCAGTTTCTTACAACAATTAAAATCCTTAAAGCTACCAATTATTTAAACAAAGGGCCTAAGCTAGCTAATAACTGGCAAAGCAGCCCTACATCATAACATCGTACTATCTTACTGTCACCATGGTACTGTTGTACTGTCACCATCGTAGCAATGACCTAACATACACGTAAATTCTTGTATTGGTGAGAGTAGTTTGAAATGTAATCCACTTTTTAAATCCTGTTTTTTCACCATTATTTAACTTAGTTTCTCTATAGTGATAATTCAACAATCAATTATTCTCTTATTCTTTAAATAATTGTTGTACATTCAAAGAGCTTAAATCTAACCGCAACATTTTTGTATCTTTATCTTGAAAATTACTTTTACTGGAGAGGAATTAATATAAGTAATGTTTTACTGGCTTTCCAATCCAGTCTGAATTACATTGTTGTGCAATGTTTGTAAATGTCACTTATGTACAAGTAATTGAATAAATAAAGTTTATACTAAATAATCCAGGTTGCCTCTTTACACAAGTATAAGAGTATAAGTCCATCAGTTAATAATTCAAATAAGAAGACGTATAGAATGATTAAGAAAAAAAAGATATTGGTTATAAGGTTATATACAGAGTTTTTAAAACGAACGAAATGTATCGTGAAAAGAATTAGTTTCTAGAAACTCTGAATATAACCTAAAACCGACTTACAATTAGCCTCGCCCGTTCGAATTGAGTTCATTATGTAAGTAGGCGGAGTCCATGTAATCGGATCATTGAACGTATACTTTTTATACATACAGTTTAGGTACAGCACTGTATTGTGTCACACGCACACATACACACACACACACACACACACACACACACACACACACACACACACACAAACACACAATAACACATGTATTACAATTTCAATGATAACAATTTCCACGCTAAATGTGTTAACGTACAAAATCATTGTATTTTAATTTGTAGTATTAAAGATGTGACATACATAACTAATAAAATACAGAAAGATTTGTCGAAGCGATACCTTGCTGTTGACTTATACTAGTGGTTTAACAATGGTTTACTAAAGTTTATAATATCTGTCGTGAATATATTTTTTCATTTTTAGATAAACCAGACAGACCAGTATTCAAAGTCAAAGGTACCACCACTATTCCTAATATGAACTTTATTGATGGAAAATCAACCTCTGTTGTCTGTGAAAGTAATGGTAAACCTAACCCGGACAGCTACAGTTGGAATAAAGTAGGAAGTCCTACTACTATAGCTGGGGACAAACTCACATTTAACCCTGTCCAGAAACAACATGAGGGTTTTCACATATGTACAGCACAAAATATGATGATACCATCAAGCGGAGATGCACAAATAGGAAGTAATAGTTCTGACGTTTATATAAATGTAATATGTAAGTTGACCTATTTTCTTAATTCTAAAATGTTTTAGTAGTTTACTGTACTTAAAAGGAACTTCACTGAGGTTTGTTGACATGATGGAACTGAAAATATTTTTCCAGATAAATGTACCATTTGATGTACTTTTAGACCACTAATCATTGTGCAAAAATTCAGATCATTCGCGCACTTCTATTTTCTTATGTAAAAAAATGATCCAAAATGAAAAGCGTTTAAAAAATAAATTTCTTAACTATTTTTGCATATATTTCTGTTTTAAGTGCCCCAGCTCATTTGTGTTAGAAATTCAAATGTTATGTTATTATGCTTTTCAACCTCAGTGGAGTCTCTTTAAAGTAAAACTGATGAAATAGAATAAACAAAAACATGGATTTGAAAATCGGGAATGTATAGCATTTTGGTTCGTGCTCTATTAATTTTAAGAAATATAGCCAATAAGAATGAAGGAGGGATAAATATTTTCATTATTTTAAATAAAACGTTATCTTCAATTTCTAATATAGTTCTGCTAGTAAATAATTACAATGTTATTTTAAATTAGCATTGCTTCATTCTTTTTTCCTGCTTTTTTATCCGTATTGTTTGAAACTTTACATTTTGGTGTATATATAACTTTATATTAACTTGTTAAATGTAAATGAAGCAAACTAATTTTATACTTAAGAGTCATCATTCACAATCATTTTATAGAATAGGAAATACTTGCCCGCGATAGCTTAATCGTTTTAAACTAGTTAACCGTGGGTTATTGGAAACATGTGTGTGTAATAGATGAAAATCAGAAGATTACAAAATTGCTGCAAGCATCTTGATGTTCCTGTACTCTCACTTTATTAATTACATTGTAAAGTAAGTCATAAACGTCTGTTGGGATAGAAAACCACTTTTCACAAAGACACTGTTTTCAACCATGTGTTCAAAACATCAAGTATTATTAGTCCCCTACCGGTTTACCGGAGGGGACTTTAGGTTTACCCTCCGTCCGTCTGTCCGTCTGTCCGTCCGTCCGTCCGTCAGTTTGTCCGTCCACAAAACTGGATCCCGCGATAACTTGAAAAGTATTGAAAATATTTTTATGAAACTTAGTATATGGATAGATGGCAGTCTTGAAATTATGCACGTCTTTTTATTTTCTTCCTATGTTGAAAATTCTGGTTGCTATGGCAACAAATAGGCTGAAAATATGGCAAATTTTACACATAAACTGGATCCAGTGATAACCCTAAAAGTACTGGAAATATTTTTATGAAACTTATATATGAGTAGATGGCAGTCTTGAAATTATGCACGTCTTTTTCTTTTCTTCCTATGTTGAAAATTCTGGTTGCTATGGCAACACATAGACTGAAAATATGGCAAATTTAAACATAAACTGAATCCAGTGATAACTCAAAAGGTACTGAAAATATTTTTATGAAACTTGACATACATGTATGGGTAGATAGCAGTCTTGAGATTATGCATGTCTTATCTGTTCTTCCTATTTTGAAAAATTATCTGTTGCCTTGGCAACAAATAGGCTTAAAACATGGCAAATATAACAATATTTGTGATTAGTCAAAAAGAGCTGAAAATGTTTATGAAATTGCATCTTTAATTCAAGAGTTATCTCCTCTTTAAGAATTTTGCTTTTAAAATGTTATATTTTGGTAACAGGGATGTTTCAAATATTAACTTTAGAGTGTCCTTCAGTCCGTCTGTCTGTCTGTTCATAAAAACTGTTTCCTGTGATCACTTTTAAAGAACTTTTCCAACAAATTTACTTAAAATAGAGAAAAATTGAAACATTAGTGAATGACCAATGGCCCTTCAGAATGTTGATGAGGTTCTAACCGGTAGGGGACTTATGGATTGCTTGCAATACTATGATAATTGCTTGTTTTGTTTGTAATGCCTAATTCTAACATTCCTGTTTGCTGTTATTGTTGATTAGTTGTTTTTGTCCATTCATATCATAACATGTATAGTGCGTAATTATGTAGGTATATATTGCATATCATTCCAGTTTTACTTGAAAATTTATAACTTTATCAAAACACAATGTTTTTTAATAAACCACCCGTTCCCTCCTTTAATAGAGGGTCTCACACATTGTAACTGTAAGGAGACAAGTTAACTTTTTCTGGTGGGGGTTATACTTAAAACATTTTGTTGCATCAATCAATCTATATCCAATGAACCCGACAAGATGCTTCGAGTGAATTTGTAGGGTTTTTTTGTTTATAGGCAAGTAATGAAAGAGTAGAGAGTTGTCTTCAAATTTGATTGATTAAAAAGAATCATAATTGAAATAAATTTTAATTCTGATTTATCTACCCCTGAATGTAGATGCACACCTTGAACGATTTTTCCATCTATGCACAATTGTTCACCTTCACAAGGGCAATAAGCAGAATATAAGTCAACCTTTTGTCAGCTAGAGGTCAAGAAAACAGTTGAAGATTAAATAATAAAATGTCAAATATTACCCGTCCGCTCTATTAATCGTATACACCTTCAGAGATTTACCCGAAGCTCTAATGTTCTCTTTCAGAAGGTAATGTGCAAAACTCATGCCATCATTTAGCAAGCGCATGGGTAGAGGCAAGTCTTAAAGTTTAATATTAGTCAATTTGTCAGAGAAAATTATGTCTGCTCTTAAAATCCTTTACCTCTTTCTAGATTTTCTTTTCATTTTGCTTAACCCATAATCGATGTTCAAGCTTAAGGACAAGTTCAAAGCTGAAGGTTCAATAATTATTCTGTGTATACTTCACCTCTTTAGACCGGGCTCAAATTAGTAACTCCTTAATGGTATTGCTTCAAATTAATATTCAGTCGTGCTGTGTAAATGCGGAACTGAAGATATTCGTTGCATGGCCTGTGGCAAAGATTTAGTTTAAACATGATAACCTTGTACGTGTCCCAAGTTGAAGTATTTACAATTCTTTAGCTATATTTGTTAGTGGAATAATGTGGAAAATATCATGCTTCAAATTGTGACTCAGTCTAGCTTATATGTCATGGTGCGGCCTTCGTTATTATAACCCGCCTATGACTTACTAGTCGAATAAAAAAACATCTGCACGTCCGTTATACTTCCATGTCCGGTCCATAACTTAGACATTGTGACGGCGTGGCCAAGTGGTTACCGTGTCGGACTAGTAATCAATGGATAACAGACCGCGTGGTTTAATCTCTGTCATGGGCAAGTCGTTGTTTCATAGAGCAAGAAACTTTACATTCATAACTTAGTAATAATTGGTTCCAATATTGTTATAAAAAAAGCAATATATCAAATGTTTGTTTAACGTGTTAACAAACATTTTGAATATGGTGTTTTGTTGCAGCTTACTAAAACATAAGTCAGTCTAGATCAAGATGTCTCAAACATTTGTTTGTATGTACCTCCATAAATTTCACTTTTTATGCCAACGTTATATTTAAAAAAAAACATCGCCCGTCCGGCTTTGCGTCCCAAGTAAGTCAACATTCTTATCCGGACTGTGTCTTTGACATGCACTGAGGATTTTTAAATAACTTTGCACACCTGCTATCCACATCAAGTCGAGGAACAACGGCCTAACTTCAAAGGTCAATGTCACCTATATAGTTTGAAGGTTTGAAGGTTAACATTCTCACAAGACGATTTGAATCTACATATTCTTGTACGGACTGTAACTGTTTTATACATGGAAGGATTTTAAATTACCTAACATTTATGTCTACAACATCAAGAAGACATGCCATGTCGATGACCAATGTCCCTACAACTTAGACCAAGATCAATCCAACAGTTTAAAGGTAGGCACAAGAAGATGTTGAATGTACATATTCGAACCAGGACTGAAATTTTGTCATGCATTAAAGGAGTATTTTGAATTAGCTTGGCATAAATGTCTACGTCATCAAGGCAACGTGTCGCATCATGTCATTACCAACACAGGTCAAGGTCACACTTAAGTTTGAATGTACACAATCGTGCCCAGGCTGTACTTTGTCATGCTTTAAGGATTTTAAAGTAGCTTGGCACAAATATCTGTCACATCACGACGACTTGCCGCGTCTATAACCCATATAACTGCCTCAAACGTCAAAGTGGTAAAAATACTAATTTAGAAATAAAAATATTACAGATAACACTTCATTTTACAAGATCAAATATGAAGCAGTTAACTTTTTATTCTTTTTTTCTGTCATTATAAATATCTACCAAAAACTTTTCAGGGGCATTTTTCACATTTTGCGTGACAACACTTTTTAAAAAAGTAAGAGCTGCTGGTGGAGTATTAATCCCCTTTAGTGATAGCTGTAGTTTTTTTTATATTTAAGCATTTAGTTGACATAATAATACTATTTGAAAATCCTCCGCGCCCAGAGAATTTCAACTTTGACGCTTGAATCAATATTGCGTACTTTTCTAGGTTAAAATCAAAGTGAATCTTTGCAAGAAACATGTTATTTACTAACCATAAAAGTGGAAAGTATAACTGTTACATATGAATGAGGGGTTGTTAAACAAAGTGATACCATGCAATATGCTGGCTTATGTTATATAAAGCGAGTTAAAAAAAAAACAAAGAAAAATTGAAAGTAATGCATATTAAAGAGATAAATCAAGGAGACACAATATTATAAAAACAAGATAGTGCTAGACAAGGCTGTAACTCGGAAATCAGAATCAAGGAAATATTCTATCGTTTCAGGTCCAAACAATGTAAAATTACTTATACTAATATGTAGATCGTAAAAATAAATATGAAAATAATCAAGCGATATGTATATAGTAAAATACATTGCACGAACTTGATTATGCGATACAAAGTTATTGAAAGAAATTAACAGTATCACAAAAAGTCATGATGCAAATATTACTCTAGATTGCTGATTTGATCATTTTAGTAACCTACATGTATTTAATTGTGTTAGCAGTCATTTCGATGGCAATGTGAACCTGAAAGTCAATGATTTAAATTTGTATAAAATTAAGCATATTGCTTTTATTTCTTATTAAGTATCTGATGAAATATTTAATGATATGAAATCATAGAAGACAAAGTTATTGTCTTATCGGTCAGTCGGTCCGTCTAGCGGTCCGTTGCATTTCCTTGTCCGGAGCATAGCTTGAAGATTAATGGGTAGAATTCAATAAAACTTCATACAATGGTCAAGCACATTGAGAGAAAGTGCAGTGCAAAAGAACCATAATTTCATCTTGACTAATTACAGAGTTATTGCCCTTTTTTATTTTTCCTTGTCTGGTGCATAACTTGAAAACTACTGGTTGGAATTCAAAACTACTTCATAACAATGATCAAGCACAAGAAGAGGAAGTGCAGTGCACAATAACCAATAACTTTATCTAAAGTAATTATAGAGTTATTGCCCGTTTTTAAATTTCCATTGCTTTTTCTTGTCCGGAGTTTAATTTGAAAACCACATGTTGGAATTCAATACAACTTCAAACAATAGTCCAGCACATTGAGCGGAAGTGCAGTGCAAAAGAACCATAACTTCATCTTGACTAATTACAGAGTTATTGCCCTTTGTTACTTTTCCTTGTCCTGAGCAAAACTTGAGAACTACCGGTTGGAATTCAATGTAACTTCATAAAATGATCAAGCATAAAAAGAAGTGCAGTGCAAAAGAACCATAATTCCATCTTGACTAATTACAGAGTTATTGCTCTTTGTTACTTTTCCTTGTCCGGAGCATAACTTGAAAACTACTGGTTGGAATTCAAAACTACTTCATAACAATGATCAAGCACAATAAGAGGAAGTGCAGTGCACAATAACTATAACTTTATCTAAAGTAATTACAGAGTAAAAGTAATTACAGAGTAATTGCCCTTTGTTAATTTTCTATTGCTTTTTCTTGTCCGGGACATAACTTGAAAACCACATGTTGGAATTTATTACAACTTCATACAATGGTCAAACATAGTGGGAGAAAGTGCAGTGTACAAGAACCTTAACTCCATTTTGACTAATTAGTTATTGCCCTTGATGGTTCCTTTGTCTTGGAGCATAACTTCAAAAGTAATGGTTGCAACTCAATGCAACATCATACTATGGTCAATCAAATTAAGAGGAAATACAGTGCATAAGAACCATAACTCTATCCAGAGTAATTAAAGAGTTATTTCCCTTTGTTACTTTTCCTTATTGGAGAGCATAACATGATATATATTGGTTGGAATTCAATACAAGTTCGTACAATGGTCATGTATCTTAAGAGGGAGTACAGTGCACAGTAACAACACTAACTCTTTCTTAACTCATTTTAGAGTTATTGCCCATTGTTTCTTGTATTGTCCATAATTTGAAAATTAATGGTTGAAATTCAATAAAACTTTATACAATGGTCAAGCGCAGTGAAATGAAGTGCAGTTCTCAAGAACCATAACTCTATCAAGAGTAATTATAAAGAGTGATTTGACTTTGTTACTTTTCCTTATTGGAGAGCATAACATGATATGGTTATGTATATTTAGAGGAAGTGCAGTGCACAGGAACAACAATAACTCCTTCTTGACTCATTTTAAAGTTATTGCCCATTGTTTCTTGTATTGACTATAATTTGAAAATTAATGGTTGAATATCAATGCAACTTCATACACTGGTCAAGCGCAGTGAAATGAAGCGCAGTTCTCAAGAACCATAAATCTATCGAGAGTAATTATAAAGAGTGATTTGCCTTTGTTACTTTTCCTAATTGGAGAGCATAACATGATATCTACTGGTTGGAATTCAATACAAGTTCGTACAATGGTCATGTATAGTAAGAGGAAGCGCAGTGCACAGGAACAATAATAACTCTTTCTTGACTCATTTTAGAGTTGTTGTCCTTTGTTTCCTGTATTGTCTATTATTTGAAAAAAATGGTTGGAATTCAATGCAATTTCATTCAATGGTCAAGCATAGTGAAATGAGGTGCAGTGCTTAAGAACCATAACTCTATTTGGACTAACTACATAGTTGTTGCCCTTTGTTACTTTCTTTTGTCCATTGCATTACTAATTGTTGGAACTTAATGCAATTATATACAATGGTCAAGCGCAGTGAGAAGAAGTGCAATGCACAAGAACCGTAACTCTATTTGACTAATAACATAGACATTGCTCTTTGTTACTTTTTCTTGTTCAGTGCATAACTTTCATTGGAATTCAGTACAACTTCATTCAATGGTCAATTGCTATATTGCTATAAGAGGAAGTGCAAAATATATTAACCATAACTTCATCTTCAATTTTTGCAGAGTTATTGCCCTTTGTCCCTGTATCTTGCCCGGTGCATAACTTAAAAAGTGATGTTTGGAATTCAATGCTACTTCATTCAATAGTCAAGTGCAATGAGAGGAAGTGCAGTGCTCAAGAACCGCAACTCTTTTTGCACTTATTACAGAGTAATTCAATATAACTTCGTCAATAGTTTACCACAGTGAAAGGAAATGTAACGTACATGAATCACAACTGTACTAGTAATTTCTGCGGGGGTATTTATCACATTAAGTGATAGTTCTAGTTATGTTTTGTTATATTGTTACCTTTCATATGTAAACAGGTTATTGATCGGAAACCGTTTTTTTCCTACGAGGTCAATATGACCTTGCCCTTTGACACCTTCACCTAAAGATTTTATGAATGGTATTATAAAAGTCGGGTGGGTTATATTACCGTTATTTTGGCATATTATTCGGATATTATGTCAAAGCTTCATCTCGGGGGCATTAGTCACTTTTCCATGACAGCTCTTGTTTTTAACTATCCAGCACTAGAAAAGTGGAGAGCACTGTCCATGATCAAGTCATGTTTACATTTATTTATTCAAGTTTGTTTTTAAGGTGATGACTATTTAATATTTTGTTATATAATAATTAAAGATTTTTTTTCTATATAAGATTAAAAATGAGTAACACATTACTGTCAGACCAATTGGTGTATGTATGTTAAAATACTTGATTTACAATTCCCTCACTCAGTTTTTATTGTATATTAACAGATGCTCCAACGATGCACACTTTGGACAATATAGAAATTGTTGATGGTTCAAGTTTATATTTTGCATGCCCTGCAACAGATGGAAAGCCCGCATCTACAGCATATGAGTGGACAAGAGACGGTGACATTAAAAAGTGGAATAGAAAAATACTGTACATAGACAATGTCACAAAAAATGATGACATGATATATACATGTACTGCTCAGAATGAAATGACACCAACTGGAGGTTTACCGGAAATAGGCATAGCCAGTGGATCATTTCATCTTATTGTGATGTGTAAGAGTTTTCTTTCTTTTTTATCAAATTATTTTAATTATCAATTAAATAAAAAGTATTGTTCAAAACAAGAAATGTTGAACGACACATACACCCCCTATTTAGCCCTTGACTGTAATTACTATTGGCAAATTTGTTATGGAAACTTGCCATAAATGGGTACATGAAATTAATCAATTATGGAAAAAATAAAAAACAAATTACGTACTAGCTACAAGCAATCAATTTGTGAAATAGAAAGACCTTGACTTTGAAATAGTGACCCCATTATAACTTATCGAAATTGAAATATGAAGACTGTGATAAATAGCTTTCAAGATATTAAGCGGTAACCATTCTTACAGTCAATGCCCCTGTGACCTTGACCGTTGGCCTTGTGACCAAAATAGCAATAGGAATCATCTATTAAATATGACCAATCAATGTGTAAAATATGAAGGCTTTGTGATAAATAGCTTCCAAGATAATGAGTGCAAACCATTCTGACATTTAAGGCCCCTGTAACTTTGACCTTTGACCAATAACCCAAAATCAATAGGGGTCATTAACTAGTTATGCCCAATCAGATTGTGAAATATGAAGACTTTGTGACAAATAATTTTTAAGATAATGGTCGGAAACCATGTGGTCTACCGACAGACAAACTGACCGAACGACCGATATTATCAAAACAAGATACCCCTTCTTTTTCAAAGGGGTATAATAAGTCATCAATTTTATAGGTTGATAGGCTGCAGGTCGGGGAGTGTTATTAGGTACACGTTAACAGTCCTTTTTATGTGCAATATTAAAAGTTTGTGAATTAAACAATTGTCTTATAAGCACTCCACTGTGGTAATTTGAAATGATTGGAATTGAATTTTATAGGTCACAGTTAAATGAAGTTTCAGACCAATACATTTTATGGGAAATTCAAGATCATTTGCTCCCTCCATTGATTCCAGAATAGTTATACATATTTTGAGAATAGACCCAGAAATTTAAAATTGTCGCAACGCTTGCCACTGAAATCGGATTACGAATGCCTAAAAATACGGTTTTTAAGTTATTTCTGAGAAATGTTAATCACCTTTTGCATATCTTATTGTCTAAAGTGCGGAAGCTGATCTTTTTATGCCATTGTTTTAGCCTTTATGAACTGAATGAGTTTATTTAATTAGGAAGTAAAGTTTTTTTTATAAATGCAAAATATGGAAATGAGGAGTAATTTTTTTGTATATTCCAGACAATTTTTTCTTTACATAATTATGTAGTTTAAATGACGCTGTAAGAATAAAATGTAATCATTGTTTTGTGGTTCTTTGCAGTTTCAGTTCTTCTTAACCTTTTTTTATATTGGCACGTTCATACTACTAAATTTTATGGGAAGACTCGGCATAAACTTAAGTTTTGTACACTGGATTATGCTTTTTGTTGGTTTAGTAAAATGGTGATCCTAAATATTAGACGGTTTAAAACAAAGAAATTAAAAGAAACAGATAAATACTGACGTCACTCATTTTGTTCACAAGTAAGGACTGTGATTCTGTCACTAATAAACATTACTGATCTGCCATTAAACAAGGCGTCACCATTATTTCATTTTACAGTTGCGACCTATAGTAAATAACAAAAATGATAATATCCTTCATTGAACCTTTCCTTTTACACACATTTTACCGCAACTTATCGCACAAAGACTTCAAGCTAGTCCTACAGTCAGTTTGTCAATTATTGTGCCTCTGCCGTTAATGATGCAGTCGAGAAACCTTAACATAGGCCTTTTTTTAAATTTCTAAATGGATTATCTTCATAATTGTACACAATAACCCTTTACACAAGACTTTAGGAAAAACAGGCTCAAAGGTCAAATGTTTGAAATTTGCTTGATTGTTAAGTTAATTACTTATAAATGTGATATTTGTCTGGATTGGACAACCACCCTTTCCTTTTACCGTGACTGTGTAAGCTGAGATCGTCATAACATCGCTATTTATTCACAAATTTGATTGATACTTGGACAACAGAACACTTTTGGCATTATTGTAATTAGCTAGACAGTCAAGGTCAAATTATTAAAACTTTCTTCCCGATTTCCTTTTTCTAGTTTAAGCTAAGTGATTTTTTCAACAACAAATTGGCAGACATAGTCCTTTAGCTAATATATGGAAAAAAACTCATTTCAACCTTGAAACATCTTCATTGAACTTCATATTCAGATTCAAATGATTGATGTTTTGCTTGATAATAGGCTCAACTATGCACAAGGTGCTTAAAGTGAGCGTTCGTGATCATATTGTGTCTAGCGTACATTTTCCGTCAGTGCGTCCGTTGTCAAATCGTCTTATCTAAAGGCGCATGGCGTAGATCTTTGCTATTTTGTGTGTAGCATCATATTATGTAACTGTACAGAAATTATACAAATTAGACCTTTGGGTTAAAATTTGCCCCAATCTCAGGGGCCATGGCTTTCCTTTTTTCAGAAAATACTTCAAAGATAGTTTTCATGAAAAATGCACGAGCTATAGCTTCGATATTTAATATGAAGTCTAGTAGATTTCTACAAACATTAAATAATGGCCCCAGTGTCAAAATTAACCCTGCACCAGGGTCATGCATTTTTCTGATATGTATGTCAAAATATTGAAAATGATTACGTCTGGTTAGGCTTAAGCTTAGATATTTGACATAACACATATAACACATATAACAGAGCTTTACCAAGTGTGTTCAAATCATAGCCATGAGGTCAAAATTATTACCGCCCAGGTGTTCCTTAGTTTATGATGAAGATATAGGCATAGATAATTGGCCAGAAAGATGGTCTTATGGGCCAGTGGACAAGTTTGTTCACATAATTGCCCTGGCGTCTAAATGTGCACTTATAAATAGAACACTTATAATAAAACTGACCTGTTGGATAACTCATATTTGACTTTTACATGTAAATAATCTAGACCATCCCGCTGATATGTCGACAACTTTAAATCTGCTTTAGATTATATATTTACAAAACAATACTTTAACAAAAGATTACATATATCAAAACTGTAAATTTGAAAAAAGTTTGATATGACCTTAAACTTAACTTGACCATGACATTCAATGTTAAACTATTAACATTTGCTTGAATTGTAATGACGTTCATAATTATTCACAAGTATTTGACTGCTACTTAGACCAAAGGGCATTTATGACAAACGAGACATGATGTTAAATTCAAATGTATCCTTGGTATTTTAATAATATTGAACATCAAGGTGAATTAATTATGCAATTTGAATTTAAATTTTTACAAAAAATAAATAAATTTTGTTAAATTAGCTAATATTTACTTTATATTTAACTCGGATGTGTTTGACTTCAAAAATAACAAATTGTTGTGTAACCGCTGCATTTTGTTGGTATCAGATGACCACATTAAGTATGCTGCATAGTAAAACTCTTTTTAATGATAAGGTATTTGTTTACATATTTTTATTGCTTAATTATGCATTATTTTGATTTTGTTCAGATATGGCATCAATAACATCATTTATTGTCGAGGGGAGTCATAGTTCACAATCGTCGGTAACCGTAGATGAGAAAGCAGACGTACAATTTCTTTGTACGGTAGACAGTAATCCTGGCTCTAGTATTGTAATACAACTACCAGACAAAACAGTTCAGAGAAAAGAAAATGCAACAGCTTTGTCTTACAATCACGCAGGGGCAACATGTCTTGATACTGGTGTATATATATGTTCTGCTAGTAATCCTCATAATAAAGGAAAAGCTTCTGAAAAGAAATTAAATCTTTTTGTCAGATGTGAGTTAAGTTAGAAGTTTACACTATTTTCAACTAAATTGCATATTTATTGTTTTTTAAAAAGAAGACAGTGAAATTGATATTTTATAAATAATTTAGTCAATCTTAAAACATGTATCACAAAAAGATCATTTGAAACATTAGAAATTGTAAAACAATAACACAATTAGTTTTGTTTACAAAAACGTTTATACACTTAAGATGCGCATTAATTTCTTTCTCTTAATCAAGTACACTGACAGATTGCGACGTCCCTTTTTGAAAAACAGAATACCTTTGTATCAATATCGATTAAGTGATCTGCGATATCATTTGTATTAAAATCTATAAGCATCGCTATTCTAGTTGGTGAATTTCACTGTTCTAGTTTATTACATAAAAAAATTATAAATGCTATATATTTTACTTCTCAGGCTATCCGCGGCCATTGGTGACAGTAAAAGAAAATGTGACCAGTGCCCTTAGAGTTAAATCTTTATTTAGCTTTAAGGGACTTGCATACCCAACACCAACATTTACATGGTTGAGAAAACAAGGAACAACATGGAAAGAACTGTCAAACAATACTCTTGTATCCATATCAACAACAGGAGTAAATACGAGTCTTACTATTAAAAATGTGTCACAGTCAGATTATGGAGAATATCAGCTGAAGATTGAGAATGAAATTGATATGTTTATACAAAATTATACTCTTATTCCAGAAGGTAATGATATTTCTTTTTATTCCTTACGAACAAATTCTACATTTCTGTTAGGAACCTGCTTTTTGGGGTGCATAGTTTCTAGTGTCAATGTTGCATTGTTATTGACTATTTCTGTGAAGGCCAAACTTACAAAATACAAAAAATAAAAATAACACTATAAATGGCCCCTTACCACCCATTTGGTACACATGTCCATCCGTCTGCAAAACCTAATTGTTTTCAATGCTGAAAGTAATACATTTGCCTCTTTATGTCTAACCTTTCATTTTTTGTGTTAAATGTCGGTCTTATGCACATGCTAAAACATAAGCTTTTTGTGCTCATTTAAAGTAATACTTTCTTTTATTAAGATCCTGTCTGCATTTATGTTATACGCATATTAAAAGGTGTCACGTTAAATATTTTAAAGGCCTTTGTTATAATTCAATAACACGTTTTAGAATGCCTTTGAGTTGATAAACAGAAAACAACTGGTATTTAGTCAACAGCTGCCTCACAGATCTGGGCACCTGCTTATATGGAAAAGTAGGAAATACGGGGATTAATAGCATAAAAACAGATAATTTGCAAAAATGCAAACAAGACTCGAATAAATATCTGGATAATATTGTTCCATCGCAAACATAAAAATGGCAAAATCACATGCAAATTGCCGGCTCGGTTTGATTAAGTCTCTAGAGGGAGACTCAATTTTTAACACTCAAAAGTGTTGGAATCAATCAGATGGACCAGAAAACAATAAATCTGTTAAATTTTTCTCTTTAAATAGTTGGTAAAATATTGGTATTTCGTTCATGTTGATCATGTCATGTGTAAGATTCCCGTCGCAATGATTTTTGATAAATGTCACAGTCCCAATGTCTGAAATGCGAAAATGGTTGCTATTGAACAACTAAAAGAAATGACATTGTTGTTGAAATAAACAAGAATTAATATTTTGATATTCATAACTATGAAGACGCTTGGAAAGTTACTTGGTTAGAGATGTTACGATTATTTAAATTCAATATACATGATCATAGGCGCTTCACGTAGTTCAAATTCTATACACTATCATTACAATCAGATAAAGTTTGTAAAGTTCATAAATACCTAAAACTAAAACAACTCCATATAGTCCTTCTTAATTTGCTTAAAATTGACCTTGTGAGGAAAGTAAGTATTGTTTTTTAAAAGCCTATAAAAATTAGGGGTCCTTTAATATCAATGTACATAACAGTCAGTATCATTGGCAGGTAAAGTTCATCGGTTAACTTGTGGCCTTTAAAAGCAAGTCTGAAAAGGCACTAATGTCCACACAAAAATTCACTGTCACCAAAACTAATAAGCCAGAGAGTGCAAATAAACAACAAGAGCAGGTTAAACAAGGTCATGCTCCCCTAATAGGTTTTGGACACAGCAAAGTGTACCTTTAGTAGTTTAAGTGTTATATCCCGGACAAAGTTTAAGAGTGTGATAATTACAAACTTAGGCAAGGCAGAGTTACAAGTTTTTGCTGAGCACTTCTAATTAATGAGATCTATCTAAAAACTGAGTTTCTTGTTGATACTTTTTGTTGTTTCACAGTATACCCGAACAAAGCTCAAAGTGTAAAACTGAACATAAGGCAATAATACCAAAAATAGGCAAGGCAGAGTTACGGTTTTTTTGCACAGCACATTTACCCAATCAGATCAATCTACCTTATAAGTGTCATGTTTATATGTATTATACACTCTGAGTTATGACCAGGACAAGTGTAAAAATGAACAAAGGAAAATTACTCCAGAAAAAAGCAAAGCTGAGTTACGGTTCTTTTGCACTGCAGATCTAACTACCTACAAAGGGCAATTACTACAAAATTAAGCAAGGCAGAGTTACAGTTCTTTTGCACTGCACTTAAATGAGATCAATATACCTACTAAGTTTTTTTTTTTGTTGATACCTCTTGTTGTTTCAAAGTTATGTCCCGAACAAAAAAAATGAACAGACGGACTCACTCAAGAAATGGTACCTTTGATTTTTTCGGTCATTTTTAGTCACACAAGGCATAAAAAAGACACACACGTAAAAACGGAATGAATAGAATCAAACACAATGTACCGTTACCTATTGTTCTCCATATTACATACAGTCGAACTTCGTTCGCTCGAACTCGGAGGGCCTGTGAAAATTTGTTCGAGAGATCGGTAGTTCGAGCCAACCGAGGTTGAACTATTATTACGTTGATCAACTGCCTAAAGCTTCCTAGCTTACATCGGTCGAATGATAAATGCGTCAATAGAATTGTTTGTTAATACATCTGTTCGTCGAATATTTCACGTTTCATATTTAGAATTATTATCCCAGTGTTTTATAGTATCAAATGTACGCTGTGTTAATCTATATTCATGCATATAGTAATTGGTTGAGTTTGATTCAATCACACCAAACTTGTTGAACAATGTTCAAAATATATTTATATGTTTATAATTGGATGAATTCAATTTTAAAAAAATAAATGAATGAAATATTTATTAAAAACATTTACAGCAGCATCTATTTATAGTCATTTACTAAAATAAACACACATACAAGTATCATTCTATAAATAGATAACACTGTTACGATTCACTTAACATGAACCACGGTTGTAATTAAAGCCGTCTGGGTAAACGTCATTCTTTAACGGCATGCATTTTTCACTTATTTCACAAGTTCTTTTTATCGTTCTTTTTACCATAAACGGCAAATCAACAATATTATCATAACAAACAAATCGATTACAACACCTCTTATTTTGTATCACCTTTGTCACGATCACGAGGTGTTAAAAACATGTGTCGCCGACTGTCATTTATTTCGGACATACCGACTTGTCTTTTTGTGTTCGACCGAAAAGGTGTGATTTTCACTATATTTCTGCCGAAGGGACCAGAGATCAGGTTCGAGAGTTCGAGCGATCGGTGTTCGAGCGATCCGAGGTAGAACAATATATATTATATAGGAATTTTGCCGGGACTGGGTGATGAGTTCGAGCGAAGGGAGGTATTCGAGCGATCCGAGTTCGAGCGAACGAAGTTTAACTGTAATTTCCTCTTGGTTTGTACGGTTGGACAGATGAACGGAAGGACGGACAAAACGGCGACTACATGCACACCATTCGGAACGCATAAAAATGTAATACATATGGTTACTGCAAGAAGGTTATAAACTTTTAAATTAAAATATTGCAAGCCACGTCAGGTCAGTATAGTGCACTGCCAAGTCAAAGAGAGCCTAAAGTACCATCTGGTAGGTTACTTCTTTAACCGGTATAAACATAATCGCAAGAAAAACATTGTAAAACCTATTTCTGGCACACAAAAATGACGCAGTGAAAAATTCTTGGTCGCAAAATAAAATCAAGCCCAGAAACAAAATAAGCAATTGCTGTTTATTTTTGGGTGGCCAAGGAAACAAAAACACTCTAAAAAGTATTAGTTAGTATTAGCGGGTTTGACCGTGATTAACATAAGTTGCAAGAACTAGTTTTGCCATCGAGCGTAAACATGTATGTTCAAACCAGTAAAAAGAATACATTTTTATTAAAAGGTAATCCAGAGAACCCAGAAGAATTTCAGCATTTGTGCAAAGAATTGACAGAATCATCTTTAACAGTTCAGTGGAGACCAGGCTTTGACAGTGGTTCAGGTCAGACATTTGTACTAAGATTCAAGAAAAATTCAGAAATGTTTTGGACAGATATTGAGATTCCAGACAATGGAGAGAAAATAATGAACTATACAGTTACCTCACTTACCAGTGGAACACATTATGATTTCGTTTTATATGCAAGAAACAAGTTTGGAAATTCAAGCCAAACAAACGAGTTGGGAATCAGAACAGGTAAAACAGCATATGTATACATGCATATAAATTCATTTACTTAAAATTATCTTTACAAACAAAGTTCTGTTAATGCAATGTTTAAGAAACAAATATAAATAAATTTTTTGCGCTTGCTTCTTGGAATGAAAGTTAACATTTATTTGAACGAGTTTATTTTGTATCTGATAATAATTTTTCCAATTTTAATCTAAAATCATTTTACTTTCTTGCATCGAAAGGCAACAAAGTAAGCATTTTCTATTTACTTACAATGCACATTCTTTTAATCAAATCATACAGAAGCGCAATGCAGATGTACTTGTAAACCATGGGCCACCTGCTGTAAATGTGTCAGAACAGATGGTTTTGGATACACCAGTTTGTACGATGCTAGTCCGTAAAATAGAGTTTACGAATTGTCTATAATTTCTATTAACAAATATTGAAGAAAAAAATTCGCTTTTCACTGACTTATTGTCAATTAGCTTTTATAGAATCTATCAACGTTTAAACTATATTTAAATAGACAGCCTTACAATTATAAATAAAACTAATATTGACGTTGTAATTAGTGTACCTTTTGTATTTTGTCGTACAGACAAACATGCAGAAACTGTCTAAGATTATCTGCAGATATTTTCTATGGGAAGAAGCAGTGAAACTTTATTTCCTACTAGTAAACTAAATTTCGATCGATTGTACTTGTATGAAGTATTTGATTTCATTTGGATTTTCTGGCTTTCTCAAAAATTTCCTAAAAGTGCAGTTTCGGGTTAAATATAAATTTTATAGAAATGTATTCTGCACTTCAGTGTATTCTATTTTAGTCCAAATGTCATTTGATATTTTCATGGGACATTCACTGTTATTCCGTTTAGTACTTCGAAATGAGAAAAACTGATATTCGTCTATATGCTAATAAATCTGCTGGTAGGTATCGATCGCAGTTTTTCATGGTACTTGTTTCGTAATTTGCTGTTGAGCACTCCGTTCATCCTCTCGAATAAGCCTTAACACTTGCTTTGAAGAGTTCCTTTGTAAAGAGTTGCTTTACAGTTCTTCACAGATATCTGTCAACAAATCTCTTTCCTTAGGCTGATGTAAAGTTACGTCTTCTGTAACTCAAAACTTACTTTTGAAACTATTTCAAGCCGTCCTTTTACAAAGTTCTTCCCACCTGCACGGTTTCAAGTAAACGTGTGGCAAAGTATACAGCTATATACATATATTGCAGGTAAATACTGCCATTCTCTGTCACTGATACATACGCTGTTTTTAAGTCAATTGCTCCTCTATCGCACGGTTCCCAATTTATCGGCATTTATCGGCAACACCCAACATCTCTCAGTATCCATGGCCATTGGAAACCTGTCATAATTATGTCTACTTGGCTGTCAAATTAAATGTTTACTCACATTGGACTCAAAAACTGTTCACAAAGGCCGCCGGAACGAACGTCAGCTAGTACGCATCAGTGTTCTTTAAAAAAAAGTGGTTTTCAGAAGAAAGCTCACCGATTCCTACTATGCATTTTAAATGTGCTGCTTCTTTGGTTTAAAAAAAGGTGTCTGTCGGATCTGCTTGGGCCCAAACCCTTTTACTAAACTGTCAGCATGAGCGATGAATTCCAGATGTATCGATATTGTTGTCATCTAAACATTTTATTCTTTCTGTTGTTCCTTTCAGAACTGACTTATCTTGTCAAATCCATATAGGCCATATTAAAGGGTCACATATCCATATATATATACAGAGATATTAACATCTGTATTGCTTTGCAGAATTACGAATTACAACGTGTTAACAGATTAGCAGGATTTTCTTTGGTTGGGCAATATCTACAGTTCCTTTTATTTATCAGTTTCTTTATTTCTTGCCCTCTGTTTTTTCTAAGAATCGTTTTTGTCTGTTTTTTGATTTTCTGAACATATGAAAGTGATACCTCTATCTATTGAACATGTACGTAGTAGATAACTTGCGAGTCGATAGCCTACGGCAGCGGTCATCAATTTCAATCGTGGTACCGACAACGTTTTTAGAGATGATACACTGTTCTTTACTACGACAAATGTAGATTTCTGCTTTCTGCAAATATAGGCTACAGGGCTATAATATTGTTCACTGGAATCACCGAAGACGTTATTTTTATATGTGCCGCCTGTTCTAAGACAAGACTCGTCTTCTAGGTAAGCTCGTGTTAAGTTTATAACATAGAATTTTAATTTTCACGGTCAGATTTAAATTCCTAACAAGCGTTGACCATCTGTGTCGTATGTCATCAGGTAATTGGGTATTCCGGGTATACTTGTGCTTCTAGAGATCATATGGCTTACTCTTTGCATGAATGGCAACGGGAGAATTAAATGCAACAAGCGGGTCATTTATCCGGGAAGTATGCTGTATTATTTCGCGTTTGGAAGCGTAGGCTTTTATGGGAATGTGTTTGTCTATGAATGATAATTCGTCTGTTTCTGTGTTCCATTGCATGCAAAGTACTTTGGTGACTGTGCCGGTGTCAAGAGCTTGTTTGTTCTCGGCTATCGGATGCCCATAACCTAAGGTTCAAACCTCCGTCTAACATAAAATTTCTGGTTTGTCGGAAAAATATCAACAAAATAGAGAAAAACAGAGTCGCAATTAGGATAAACGGGGGCAGGTTGCAGCAAACAGAACCGTTTTTAATCCAAAAGATTGAGTCTTCAAAGGACTTCTCTCAACATAAGAATTACTCAGCCGGAAAAAAATGTCGTGAAATTTCGTTCTTTCTCCTCTAATTGAAGGTGCAAAATTGCCTTTTCTATGTCTGCGGTATACCTATGATAACGGAAGAAGATGAGGCTACTTGTCAAGTCATTCAATATGGATGGTGTAGATTCAAGTTTCAAACATGGCAGATCATGTGATTGTTTACAGCTACAATCAAACGAGCAGTTGAAGATTTGTTTTTCACTCATCTGTTCATTTATGATTTTTTCCGTATTTTACTAACATCTTGGACTGTAGTTGCAATCAGTAGATAGCCTTTTTGGCGATATTGTAAAGGGTTGATATATAACATGGTCAGGTGTTCATTGCAATCTAGCAGAATATCTTCTTTCATTGAAGGTTATTCATTTTTCCGGATACATCACAAACTAGTTATCCCAAAATCAAAAGGGGTCATCTACTACATATGTCAAATCAATATGTGAAATATTAAAACTTTGTAATAAACCGTTTTTTATATAAGCGGAAACAATTTGGATATCAAGGTCCCTGTGACCTTGACCTTTGATCTAGTGACCCAAAAATACATCGGGGTCATGTACTAGTTATGACAAATCAGTATGTGAAATATGAAGACTTTGTGATAAATAGCTTTTAGGATAATGAGCGGAAACCGTTTAGACATTTAAGGCCCCTGTAACCTGACCTTTGACCAAGTAATTGTAAAATCAATAGGGGTCATTTACTATTTGTGCCCAATCAGTATGTGAAATATGAACACTTTGTGATAAATAGATTTTAAGATAATAAGCGAAAACCGTTAAGACATTTAAGCCCTTTGACACAGTAACCCTAAAATCAATAGGTGTCATTTACTAGTTATGCCTAATCAGTATGTGAAATATGAACACTTTGTCATAAATAGTGTTTAAGATGATTCGCATAAACCAACAGCCACATAAATGTTTATCCTTTAGTAAAGTCCTATGCGGTAAGTTAGAAATAGATATAAGGAATTGACCAACTCGCCTCTTTTTTATTTTGTTTGATATATTGAGGTATCGATTTCACTCATGTTTGACAGATGATTATTGGCAATTCCTGATGTTATTTCATGAAAAGTGCAGTGTCTGATCCTATACGTTTTAATTAAATAACATTACATATCCATGCAAGTATGACACTTCTGTCACTTCAACGGTACAAAAAACAACAAACAAGCAAGTGCATGTTAATGATAACGACTTGATTTCTTTCAGAAAGACCATTGGATTGTGAAACATATCGTTGTTTAAATGAAAGCTCATCGGCAATAATCGTTGGATGTGTCCTCGGAATAGTCATAATCTTATTAGCGGTTTATGCTGGTTACATCACTTTACAGTTGAAGCGAGCAAAGGGTGTCAAAGGTACACAAATTATTCAAATATTACTTCATACAGATCTCAATATTTAATAATAAATATTTATTTAGATATACTTTCGATTGTTGAAATTCATAAGCTTCAGGTAAAGGAGTAAACGAAGAAATATTACTCTGTCCGAAACGATTTCTAAATGATGTTGCAAATGAATTATATCGTGTACGTTATCATTTCTAGCAAGAGATTACATTGATATTCATGTACTAAAAAGGCATTTCATGCAAGATCTCATTTTTGTACATAAACTCAAAGGAATTGAAAATTGTATGTAAAGCAATTTCTTTTTGTTTAATGGCACTTTTATATGTGTTTATGCATTGTACATTTCAGAACAAAATGAAATACACGTGAACTCATTGTAAGTTAATATTTTCTTATATATTTCAATGTAAATACTAATTGATTTAACATCTTACCATTTTTAAGCGATCGGTAAAGTAATATAAGCACCTATTGTATTAATAGTTTCATTACTTGCTTATATTCTATTGTTGAATATGCATACGTTTTACCTTACATAAATTATTGACCATATCTAGGGAAAGAAGAGGAGTTCCAGACTATGCTAATCTATCATATTCAGCAACGGAAAGTCGTAAACACGAATGTACAGAAATGTCAAACTCCAAGTTTCCGAGTTCAAACGTTGATGGCAACGAGTATATGGTCCTGGATGACAAGTTAAGGGAAGACAAGGAGACATATGATGTCATTAATGTACAAAATAAGGAATTTTTTGCACACAATTGAGTAACAAGAAATGAACTTGTTTGAAAATATTATTAAATATTATACATGCAGTTTAGTGTTAAAATCGCGTAATCTTATAAGAATTTTTTGGTTGCCTTGTATTAAGTTATTTTAACGGATCACTTATTTCACAGAATAAACAATCTGAACAATTGATTGAATGATTTAAAAATGATACGATATATGAACTTTCTGTATTGTTGATTTTTATTAAATAATGTTCGAAACAATTTTATAAAGTACAATTCATGATTACATTTTCATAGTTTTAATATATATATACATGTATATCCAACACTAGCATAGAAAACCCATTTATAATAAAAAATGTTTTATTCACAAATATATAAGCTCTAATATTATTGATTGCCTTTTCAACGGAGTAATTTGTTTACTTTACCTTTAGAATTCTTATATTGGCTATATAAACAATGAAATACTAAATTCCTGTAGTTTTATTGCTTACATTTGAAAGAAGTAATATAATGATCTCCAGAGACTTGATACATCTTATTTGACTCGTTTAAAAAAATCGATGTTTAGCCTATACATAATAATCATTTATTTCTAACAGTTATTTAATGGATAAAGCATTCAAGTTTTTTTTTTGTTTTAAGTGCATTTTGATAGACATCCTGCATTGTTTAGATTGTGTTAACAAACAATGTATACTGTTCATCAGGTTTGCTTTCGTATTAAATATTTAATGAGAGTTAGTTTAAAAAATAAATTCTTAAAAATAGTGTGCAAATCGCCTATGTTTTAGTAATGCTATGAATCGTGTATAAGTTTTTTTTTAAATTTCGGTTTCTCTAACCATAATTTTTAAAATAAGTCTAGAAATTATAAAGTGTTTACTTTTATATCTTCGAATTTGCTTATTTTATGTGGCCTTTTTTAATTCCTTGGTAAAAAAAAACAACTTGTCAACAACTCACAGCATTAATTAGTATTTGTTAACATGTTTAAATTCTTAGCTAAGTTTGACCGAAATACCGTATTCGTTCTGTGTATACATACTTTTTTGTTTGAGGTCCTTAACCGAAGACTGACGGAAAGGGTCGAAAATATGCCATTGCTGATTTGTTACATTTAGAATCTCAATTTACACACAGCATTTAATGCATATTATTAAAGATTGAATTTGTTAATATCGAAGAGTATAACCAAATATAAGACTTTAGTAATTTTGACTCGATAATAATTATTAATTTAAATTTATTAAACTAATTGTTTAAAATAATAGGTTGTAATATTGGTTGTTTTGAGTTTAAAATAGCATTGGTATATACATTTAGATGTTATTGTGATCTTTGGTATCAAAGATTACAAAGCAAAACTACAACAACTTTTCCTTTCTAAATTTGTTAGATTTTATTAAAAGTAAAAGTCAATCACTTTCTCTCTCTCTTCAATTATTATACATTGTTAGTTGAATTGTATTTGGTGATTACTATAAAAGTAAGCGTTTATTGTATCATAGTTGGGGACTTTCTGTTGATAATGTGTCAGAGTTAAATCGTATACATATAGTTAACTGGAGTGCAGGTATTAGTTACCCGCACTCCAGAGCATGCCCATTGATTGGCTCATTTTTGGCGGGGTTTATTTATTGTGACGGCAGAGAAAGGGAAAGCGGCAGAAATTTCATATTCAGATGCTCGTTCATTGGTTACTTTTTACTCGGGTTTCATACTGTGACAACAGGGAACGTGTTTTTATGTTTGACTATGATACAAAATAGAAAGAACATCAAATGTGTGTGTGTGTTTGGGTTTGTTTACCCTCGCCACCGGAAAGAGACCATATTGGCGAGCATATACTTCATTTATAACCTTTTAAAAAGGGGGAGCTGAGGTTTAATTACTTATTGTTATATCTGTACATGTGTTTATGTGCATACCATATCCCCCATGACAGGGTAGTCTCTACGTACAACCTCTGCCATGGGAGGAAGATGGGGCAATCCCATACTAAGTTTGAGAAATCTAAAATTTAATAATTAAAAAGCACTTATTTTAAAATTGGCCAAGACGTTAATAGTAGTTACCGTCTTTTATAACAGGTCTATTTGATATTTAATATAACTAAAAAAATTTGAACATCAAAACACTCGGCAATCTGATTTATACTCGGGGGCGTACAAATCAGATAGCTTCGTGTTTCGATGCTCTTTCTATTACTTGTTAGTAAGGTAATTCTAAGTTAAACTTAATGTTTAAATGAAGAATATATTATCATATATAAATCTGTATCAAACAAATTAGAGCTGGAAACTTGGTGTTTTTTGTTATTCCCTACAGTAAAGGTTCAGTATTAAGGAAACAAAGTGAGGTCAAGCTTCAGGCTCTACATAAATCGGTAGCATAAAAGGGAGAGGAACTTGCGAAGCCAGGTTGTGATAGTTTTGTGATAGTTTTGCAACCTGTCTCCTGCTACATTTTGGCGTCCCTGAACGGGCCTACTTTCGACATTACATAGAGGATATTTGTTTGTTTGTGTGTAAGATGAAATTTTATTTCATCGAGTGGGCTTTAAAACCAGTATTCTCACGAGTGGCGTCGCCACGAGTGAGAATACTGTTTTTAAAGTTCACGAGATGAAATAAAATTACATCTTACACAACGAACAAACAAATTTTCTTTTTATTTTATGCTTAAAAACAAGTTAAAACGAAATTTCTATAATATTAACGTTAATATTAAAATCTGTTTTCCCCATTGAGAGCCCCATTTAGTCGGAATTTCTCATTAAATACAAGATGTCTTGGGCTGAAAAAATAGTTCCACAATCAATGTTAAATAACGGTGATATTATTCATTTTATTAAAAAAATATGAATGATCGCTTGTTTTAATAATAAAAACAAACAGTTCTTGTAGGAAAAAAAGTCCAACCATCCATCCATATTTCCGTTACTTACTGCGAATTAATATTAGACCTTTGTTAAATGTAAGCGGCAGCCATTTTTTAAAGTTGTGTATTTCACGGGAGGAAAATAATTGTGTTTGATTCAGACGGATATCATTTGGATTTGTTAGTCATACACCTTTTTAAAAGAAAGAAAACTTTTTTGAGGATTGTAACAGACCAAAAATAAGTGTTGACAGATGTGAAAGCATTCAAATAGCAGCAAGGAAAATGGAAAACTTCAAAGGCTAGCTCAGGAACGCTGGGTTTTTTTACCTAGTCTACGGGGATAGCTGTCATTGCTTTTCAAGTTTTCATAAAGCATACCGCAGTTATTGCTCGTAGGATACTTTAATATGCCCAAATGTCATCAAGAGCAGTTTTGCATGTGGAAGGAATGTATTTTTCAGACTGTAAAAAATGAAACAAAAAAATGTAGAGACGAAATTTGGTGATTGGAATTTGAATGAATAGAAGTTTTCTTCTTTTTATTACTTTTGACATTTAAGTTATTTATCAAGTTCAGCTTTGCTTTTCTTTAAACATCCTGACATTGTCAGAATTGTCAGCAAAAATAAAATTGAGGTACCACATGGGGAAAATCTTTAAAAAATAGTTTCGTCATTGAAAAGTGTGAAATTATATTTTGATAATTTTCACTGTGAAATTATCAAATATAATTTTCACGGATAAATCAGTAATCCACTGAAAAGCATAAAATAAATCGCTTTAATTTCTTTCTTTTGGAGTTAGCTTTAGAAAATCATTAATATTAAGGCCAATATAAAATCACATCTTTCGCATTCATATTTCATTTTATACTTATTATTTTGCAGTTTTTATAAATGAATACTTGGCTAAGATACAGTATTCCTACTGTCAATTCTTCTGTATACTCTTTACCAAATATCATGGCATCTTGTTTTCATAATGCTTCCGTTAGTGCTGGGACTCGAGCTCTCTTACAATCTTATTTTAATGTTGGGTATAACAATCCTCATGCATTTATGAATTCAAATCTTTCGAGGCAAGGTTTGCCGCAACAAAGGTTTCATGTTCATACAGATAACTCTGATACGTATCCTGATCCTATGTCGGGTATTTTTTTAAATACTAGGGATTTGCGTCAATCTTACTTGCATATAGAAAACGTGTCGATGTCTCACAGGTCACAAGGTTTACAAAACAGAAATGATTTAGGGCCGGATACTTTGGGACTTCAGTCTCAAGCTGATACATGTACTATGCATATGTTGGATGATAGTACAGCTAGTGAGGTTAGGCCCTGTAACACCCCACTTTGGGGTCAAACGCACTTTGGGGTCCGACCCCAAAGTGCGTTAAACTTCGCACCACACTTTGGGGTCAAACGCACTTTGGTGTCAAAATCGAGAAATTGACCCCAAAGTGCGTTAATATGCTACATATCAACGCACTTTGGGTTCCAGAGTTCTAAAAGTGTAATCTGAGTTCTGCTTAAATACTAAATATTGACTTATTTTCGATCTGCGAGATTGACATATTTGAGGTGAGGTTCAAGATGGCGGTCAATACTTTGATGATGCTTATGTGATAAAAGTTTCATTAATTTTACCACTTTAAATATCCAAAAATTGTGTTCATATAACAAAATAACGCATAAAAATGACATTTGCATTTTTTTATTTAAGTTTTGCATACATATTTTTTTCAGTTTTGCATTCATATTTTTTTTTTTTTTTTTGAGTTTTGCATTCATATTTTATTGTAGTTTTTCGTACATATTTTATTTTTGTTTTTCGTACAATTTTTAGCCAATCAAAACAGCCTTCACATCTCATAACAGCCCATAGTCGAGTATAAAACTAGCACAGTGGTTTGGTCCCATTTCGGTTAAGGTCGCTGACTTGAGATCACAGGTCCCTCACCGCTGTAGGTTCGATCCTCACTCGGGTCGAAATCTTTCATGTGAGGAAACCATCCAGCTTGCTTACGGAAGGTCGGTGGTACTACCCAGGTGCCCGCTTGTGCCTGAAATAATGCCCGGAGGGTCACCTGGGGTCTTCCTCCACCAATAAAGCTGGAAAGAAATCGACGAAAAATCACGGCGGGACGCTCTAGGATGGCATGACTTGAGTGTACGGTCGCCCATATGGGCTTTCCGGCGGCGACCTTAAATAAACGCATTAAAAAAAATCACATTTCGGCCCATTTTTTGGAATCGACCAAGTTGTTTTTGGCCGCGCAAGTCTGGTTTCGGCGGACCTTTTTCGGCCCGTTTTTTAAATCATATGTATTTTATACACTTATTTTTTATTATTATATACTTATTATATAAGTGTCTATTGAAAGGGCTGTTGATTGGTGATCAGTTATTATTCCATGAATGCAACAATCAACCCCACCCTTTGAGAATAGCGGGGGGGGGGGCATTGACTTTTTAAACCAAGCCGACCACTGGTAAAATATTCGCCCTGCGGGGGATATTCAGATAATAACATTCCTGCCTTATGCCCCCGGAAGGTGCAGACAATCAAAACACGATTCTTTTTTTAACCCGCACTCCCCCCGGGCAAGGGAGGTGGTTTACAAAGACTGGTGTATTACAATAATGCACAATTAAAAGATCTAAATAGGTCCTTATATTCCAATGATTTAGAAAAAAAAAATTATATAATATATATACATGTATATACATTGTACATGTATATCATATACTATAAAGTGTTGTTATCTTTTTGATACCTCCAAAAATAAAAAATGTTG